CGTACTGATGTACTAAATAAGGTGTCCTCTGGTCACCCTACTGATGTACAATATAAGGTGACCCCTGGTACAACTGCTGATGATCAATATAAAGTGAGCTCTCATCCCCTTACTGATGTCTAATATGAGGTGACCTCTAGTCCCCTTTCTGCTTTTAAATATAAGGTGTCCTCTGGTCCCGCTACAGATGTACAGTACAATATTAGGTGACAACTAGTCCCCGTACAGTATAAGGTGACCTCTGGTCATCCTTCTGATGTTAAATATAAGGTGACTTCTGGTCCCCCTACTGATGTACAATATAAGGTGACCCTAGGTGCCCCTGCTGATGTACATATGTGACCTCTGGTCATCCTTCTGATGTTTAATATAAGGTGACTTCTGGCCCCCTACTTATATACAATATAAAGTGACCTCTGGTCCCCCTACTGATGTTCAATATAAGGTGAACTCTGTTCCTCCTACTGATGTACAATATAAGGTGACCTCTGGTCCCCCTACTGATGTACAATATAAGGTGTCCTCTGGTCCCCTACAGATGTATACATGTAGTATAAGGTGTCCTCTGGTTCCCTTATTGGTGTACAATATATAGTGACCTCAGGTCCCTCTACTGATGTACAGTACAATATTAGGTGACCACTAGTCCCCGTATTAATGTAAATATCGGGTGACCTCTAGTCCCCTTATTGGTGTACAATATAAGGTGACCTCTGGTCACTCTACTGATGTACAGTACAATATTAAGTGACCACTAGTCCCCGTATTAATGTAAAATATCGGGTGACCTGTGGTCCCCGTACTGATGTACAATATAAGGTGTCCTCTGGTCCCCCTGCTGGTGTACAATATAAGGTGACCCCTGGTCCCCCTACCGATGTACAATATAAGGTGTCCTCTGGTCCCCCTACAGATGTATAGTATAAGGTGTCCTCTGGTCCCCCTATTGATATACAAGAGAGGACCTCAGGTCCTTTTGCTAATGTACAATATAAGATGACCTCTGGTCCTACTGCTAATGCAAAATATAAGGTGTCCTCTGATCCCGCTACAGATGTACAGTACAATATTAGGTGACCACTAGTCCCCGTATTAATGTAAATATCGGGTGACCTCTTGTCCCCGTACTGATGTACAATATAAGATGTCCTCTGGTCTCTCTACTGATGTACAGTACAATATTAGGTTACCACTAGTCCCCGTATTAATGTAAAATATCGGGTGACCTCTGGTCCCCGTACTGATGTACAATATAAGGTGTCCTCTGGTCCCCCTACTGATGTACAATATAAGGTGACCCCTGGTCCCCCATCGATGTACAATATAAGGTGTCCTCTGGTCCCCCTACAGATGTATAGTATAAGGTGTCCTCTGGTCCCCCTATTGATATACAAGAGAGGACCTCAGGTCCTTTTGCTAATGTACAATATAAGATGACCTCTGGTCCTACTGCTAATGCAAAATATAAGGTGTCCTCTGATCCCGCTACAGATGTACAGTACAATATTAGGTGACCACTAGTCCCCATACAATATGAAGTGACCTCTGGTCCTTCTGCTGATGTAAAATATACGATGACTTCTGGTCCCCCTACTGATGTACAATACAAGGTGACCTCTGGTCTCTCTACTGATGTACAGCACAATATTAGGTGACCACTAGTCCCCGTGCTAATGTAAAATATCGGGTGACTTCTGGTCCCCGTACTGATGTACAATATAAGGTGTCCTCTCGTCCCCCTACTGATGTACAATATAAGGTGACCTCTGCCCCCTTACTTATGTACAATGTAAGGTGTCCTCTGGTCCCCCTACAGATGTATAGTATAAGGTTTCCTCTGCCCCCTCCTACTGATGCACAATATAAGGTGCCCTCTGGTCTCCCTACTGATGTACAATATAAGGTGTCCTCTTGTCCCTCTACTGATGTACAGTACAATATTAGGTTACCTGTAGTCCCCCTACTGATGTACAATAGACCCTATAGACCTCTGGTCCCCCAAATGATGTACGATATAAGGTATCCCCAGGTCCCCCCCCCCCCCTATTATTTGCAATAAAAGATTACCTTTGGACCCCTATTGATTTAAAATGTAAGGTAACCTATGATCCCTCTGATGATGTACAATATAAGGTGACCACTGGTCTCCCTAATAATGTTAAATATAAGGTGGCTTCTGGTCCCCCTACTGATGTACAATGTAAGGTGATCTTTGGTCCCCTTATTGATGTACAATATGAGGTTACCTCTGGTCACCCTTATTACTTTCACGTTTCTGCCAATATATATATTAGAAAGTTGATCTTTATAAAGTTATAAATATTATTATTTTGGAGTAAGACAAAGAAAATTGTCTATCATATAAAATTCAATTAATATATAAAGTGACCTGAGGTCTCCGTATTAATATCGATGAATTTACTTTTGTGCCTTTAATGCCTAGAGAGTTCCTAGAATGTTTTATTACTACGCAAAATGACGAACTATTTGCGGGGGACCCCAGGTCCTAGTTGAGCGTACGTTTTATCTTTCTGCAGAATTTAAACCCGAGTATTTTTTTTTCCATTAGTAGAATCCTAAGTCATGATATATCTTTTAAAAATTAAGAAATTAATTGAATATAATCCATAGTAATTTTTTTATTAATATGCATATTTACAGAATAAAGGAAAATCAGATATTTTTAGAGATTTTTTAAAAAGGGAGTTTAGTAACGAGGGCTAGAATATTGCCCGTGTACACTTTGTTGTGGAAAAAATGCTCTGGTTTGTTCTTGATGAGTTATACATGTAAGCGATAAATTTAATTTTTCGAAGGTGATTTCACGCAATGTCAACAAAGGATTATTTTTTGTGTGACCTAACAAAAATAATTTTTTTAACTTTTGAATTTTGATATCTTTAAAAAGAAAGAGACTTTGGGGATATAATTTGACGAAAGTTGAAATAATTTATGGACAATTATTTTCTGGACCATGCTTTTTGTTAAAGGATATTAGTCTCTTTAATCTACTACATATCCAAGTTACACTGTATAATTAAGAATTATTATTTTTCCTTAAAGTTGACAGTTGTCTGATTGAAACAAGATCACATGATCAAGTATTTAAAAAAAGTCATATAAACTGGGTGATTCTATTTTAAGCTTCTAAAAACTATGTTAACGTTCTTCTGCGGTGCAACATATAAGTCCTGACGTCACAATCACAGGCACTTATTTCATATACGGGGCACCACTACTTAAGCCACACGTGCTATATATGTGTAACTGTGACGTGATAATAAATTGACATTACTGGACAAAAAATTAGTTCCCCGGGGATCATGGGGGAAATTGAACTTGTTTTTTGTTTTTTTAAATACATGTATATCGGAATTCTAAAGCAAAATTGTTATAATTAATTAAACATAATATATTTACATGTACGTCTAAAACCGCCTGAAGCGATTTCCAAGAAAACAAGAAAAATGATTGAACAGATTAGTAGTTCTATTATAAATTTATAATTCATATTAACTTTATCTATATACATTCATATCAAAACAAACTTTTACGTTTGCTATTTTCAAGGATTGGCAGATTAAAAAGGACTTTTTCCAATCTATTTATGAAGCTAAAGGAAACTTTTTAACCTGAGTTTCCGATAACATACACCCGTCTAAAACCGAAGTATCCGGCAACATCAACCGAGTTGACGATAACATGTTTTCAACTAACGAGACATTTTAAAAGACTGATTACTAACCCTTAATTTGGATTTTTTAAATATCAGTTTGCTAATCTAAAGGTATCTGATTGTCCATAGAAAGGCCAGTTTGTTTGATAGAATAAACTAATTTTGAATTCTACAGAAGTTAAAATGTGATGACATATTCCGAAATTTTTGTAAAATTTGACAGAGTTGTAGATCTTTTGAAAGAGAGTGATTTGGATTGTGCTTTCTGATGTTGTAAGTATAATCAATTATGTGTCATAGATCACTAACTTTGTTTGCTGAAATACATATTTATCATTGAAATATGAAATTTAAAATTACCCACATTTTCTAAACGTTGCTTTTCTTGCACCGAGTGTCCGATAACAACCGAGTAGCCGATAACGCGTTGAGCGGTGTGAACAAAGTTTGCAATTAGCCTAGTACCCGAGGCCTTCCGAGTGCAAGCACTTCGTGCTTGCACTCGGAAGGCCTCGGGTACTAGGCTAAGTTTGCAATTAATTTGTGTGGCGGGAAGCTAAATGTTCATCACGGGGAGCATTCATTAAGTCGATCTGATTTTACTTGGTTCTTATTTTCTGATATTAAAAAATCGATTTTGTGATATCAGAAAAAAATTATCATTTTTTGATATCAAAAATTAGAATTCTTGATATCAAAAAATCATTTTTCTGAAATCAGAAATTCGAATTTTTGATATCAGAAAATTGTGTTTATTTTCTGATATCAGAAAATAGATTTTTTGATATCAGAAAATGTGTTTTTTGATATCAAGAATTCTTGATTCTTTTTTTATATCAGAAAACGATTTGCTGATATCAAAAATTTGATTTTTGATATCAAAAATTCCAATTTTCTGATATCAAAAAATCGATTTTTTGATATCAGAGAATAAATAAGATTTTTTAATTAATATCAAAAATTCGATTTTCTGATATCAGAAAATCATTTTTTGATATCAAGATCTCGAATTTTTGATATCAGAAAATGATTTTCTGATATCAAAAAATCTATATTTTGATTTTTTGATATAAAAGAATATTTTGATATTAAAAAAATCTTGTTTATTTTCTGATATCAAAAAATATATTTTCTGATATCAGAAAATTATTTTTTGATATCAAAAAATTGAATTTCTGATATACATTTTTTTTTATATAAATAAAATACAAATTTCAAAATATTAAAACGGCTCCCCATACCAACACTCTTGCGCACAAAGTCTAAATATAGACTGGATGGAATTTCTCGTTGCTAAATTAAGAACCATGACTAGTTAAGTAGTTTGCCCCAAAAGCTTTAGGAAATTCAAGTGAAATAAAAACAGACGAGGGGTTGAGAACATAAGGTAGGTGGAATTTTAAATAAAGTGGTATGGACGTTTTAAGTCGTTTGTTCAACTGCTCTGTGGGGATATTTTGATTTTTTAAAACAAAATTTTGTAGTGCATTGTCGGCCATTATGGAATTCGTGAATATATTATGTGAAAACATTATTAGACCTACACTTTAAGCTCACATAGCCTAGCAGAGAAAATTTTAATTAAATACTCTCTCTATGTATATATTTTTATATGGACACCATACTCTCTCGGTGAATGAGAACATTTTTTTTTAATTTCCATTTTAAATTGTAGGTAGGCCTAAATGGCCAATAGATCCAATGTTGAACTGTTTGGACTTGTACTTGTTATATTGACCTGTCTGTTTAAATGGTAAGTGGTTAAACAAAGAGAGCTTATTTTAAAAGATATTTCGATAAACTTTTGCTTTACAATATTTAACCTAAATATTGCTTGGTCAGGTACATTCCTCTGTTTATTTCTTCTGTAATCATGGGAGAGGAGAAGAAATTTATTGCCAAAGATCAAACCAGGATTTAAACTGCCTACCCCCAATCTCTCAAATCAAATGCTCTACAATCTGAGTTATCTAGACTATAGCTTTTGAACACATCAAAATGACTGATTCCTCCCTCCTAATAATAGGTTTTGGACTCCCAAAGACACCAACCTAGGCTCATCCACTGGCAGGTCTTTTACCTGTCATTTCCAGGGTATGGCATAGGACCAAATTTTACGGAAGAGGAGAAAATGTATGGATGGACTGGGTATTGAACCCGGACCCCTGCATCACTAGTCAAGTGCTCTATATAGCTAACTTACATGTAGGTACTCCTACACGCAAGAGCCTCGATAACGGTTAAAGTCCCTGCACTCCTACGTGGCGCAAAGTCAAAAGTATCTCTCCATGAACCTCTAGCATGTAGGAGTAGCTACTTAGGTACCCAGGCCTAAAGCCTATACCATTACATTCAGGAGTCCCTCAAATTGTTTTAGCTAGCCCTTACATAATTACCACAGAATTCTTATGAAAATCCTTAGTTATTTTTTTTTCTATTAAAAAAAAGTAACCATAACAAACTTAGAGAAGGAAGAAAGTACGTAAACACAAAAAATGTCTTTTAATGTTAAAACTTGACTTTCAGGGGAATTACCTCCAATCCAGGAGTGGTAGATACGTGCCCTGATACTGAGGCAGCGTGGAATGAGCGAGCCTTGAGCCAGTCCACCAGCTGTGGGGGACAGAGTGTGTATCACTGCCTCCTGGACGAGGATGGAGAGAAGAGGGAAGTGTGTGTGGAGAAATCCCTCCTCAAAGCAGGTCAGTGAATAATCAATTCAGAGTAATACAGTTGAACTTTGGTATCTCAAACACCAATATCTCAAATACTATGATGGATATTTCAAAGTGATCTGAAAGTTCCAACCACTTTAATGTTCCTTAAGTATTTTACTTCAATATTTGATACCTTCGAATCATCTGATATATCTCAATGTTTTTCCTCAGTTTGATCAAGTTCGTGATAATGAGATTTGACTTTATTTCATTTTTGTCTAAAAGCATGATAATTGTAGATTAAAATTGTTTGAACAAAGTTAATATGTTTCAGAGTTTAATTGTGAGAATTTTTGTTTCAGGTTACTGCCCTCTTGTTACACAGAGTAACTTTCTGGACTGGAATCCATGCAATCTCACCAATCCAGGATGTCCCAATACCAGCTTCATCTCAAACGAAGTTTACAAATGTAAGGTTTTAATTTGAATAACATTCTTCTAGTAAAAGTGATGATAGACAAATTATTTAAAGGACAGAAAAAAAAACATAAATGCATGTAAGAAGGTGAAAACTAATTAAACACCTACGCAGCATACAGTTTCACTGTGAATTCATTATTTCCAAATGTCGCCAGCATAGCCCAGTGGTTAGAGCATTTGCTCTAGAGTAACATGGTAAGGAGTTGACCCGTATGTTATCCAAAAGCTGGACATGAAGACTGGTCCTATAGAATATATGGGACTGTATGTATGTACTGTGGTCTTGTATATCCCTGTTTTGCAGTAGGTGCTGCCATGCAAAAGATCCCTCACTGATCAGTGGCCCTTAGTGCCAAGTATAAGTCAAAATTTGCTAGCCAGTATATAAACTGAATGGGGAGGGGTTGTGGTTGTAGATTTAGTAAATTTTAAATCTTTAATTTCATTTCAGGAATAAAAAGGTTTTTAATTGCCAAAAAGCAAGGCAGCATCCACATGCAATTATTTATTTATTTTATGATCAATTGAAATTTTAAAAAAATCTAAATTTGATACCTTTTGACATTGTATTTTTGAATTTGTAAACTTCTTTAACTAAGTTAAGGCCCAGTCAGCTGTTACAAAATTTTCAAAGGTGTAACAGTTAATGAGTAAGAAAAAAATGTGTAAGATGTTACCATGATATTCTGAAATAGAACTGCTGCATAACATTCAAAGGCTTGTGGGAATATTGCTCATCCATCTCCATGAGAGAGCTAAATGTTTTATTACTTGTTACAGAAGCTTAAATTATCAAATAAGTATATAAAATTTTATCTTTGATTTTTCAGTCCCATATTGTTTTGGAGACAACACGCCATCTCCAATAAAGTAAGTACATATAACTAGTTTCTTCCATCTGTTTAATAATAATCAAACTAGTTCATATATTTGAAAAAAACGAGTAATTATAAATTATGCTGCCCCAGATTTTCTGCCTTAACTAATTAACAGCCCTCTTAAGGATTCTTATTAATACGTTACATGTTACTGTATTGAGAGAAATTAGAAGAAATAGCAGAAAAGTGCAACAGGACAAAATGCTGCCAAACACAAACACATATTCAAAATTGAGCGCAATTGCTGGGTATAGAGTTGTTGGCATAATCATGTATTAGAGCTACAGATGTCCATTCCATGTAATTGTATTTATAAATAATTTTTTAGCGGTATTAATAAATTAGCACATGGATGTCCACGCCAAAGTCGCTAAAATATGAAGCCTGCTTTCTTAAGTACACATACAGTATATTATGGAGAATGCTGTATTCAGTTAAAAGGAATATATCAAAACTCATTTATTTGTAGGCAGAATGAGAATGGACAGGATATTAGTCCTGGGACAGTAGCAGGAATTGTGGTTGTAATAGTTTTTCTATTATTGGTCATCATAGGTTTTTTCCTGGTGTATCAAAGGAGGATGGGTAAGTAAAATACAGTTGAACTTCACTATCTCAAACATAGATATCTTAAATACCATGGATATCTCAAAATTATTTTGAAGTCCCAACCACTTATTTTTTAAGTATTTTATCCTCAATATCTCGAATCCCCAGATATTTAGAAGTTTTTTCTCAATCCCATCGAGTTTGAGATAATGATGTTTGACTGTACTTACATGTATAGTAAATACCTGATCAACTTTTGCTAATTATTTTTTAAATCTTTAAGTAAAAGTATCACACGTAGCTTGTATAAGCAATGAACTACTCAGCCTATTGATATGATAATTTTCATTTGCTGATCGAAAAATAAAAAGAATCTACATGTAAGAAGCACAAATAACCTGGTATCATTTAGTCAGAGACAAGCTTAATTATATATATTAAAGTATATTTATTTATTCTTGCTCTGATCCCAACTTGTTTGCGACATTGAATAAATAAACTTTACATACCTGTTCTGTAATAGTAGATGATGCTAAATATAGTACATTTGTATTTCACATTCAAATCAGTAAATACTAGAATTAAAGATTTAATTTTTACTTTCATTTCAGGGCGTAATTATGTTGCAAAAGATCCTGAGGGCCATCCTTTGATGCCTACAGGTAATAATTTAAGCTTTTTTCTGCTCCCCAATGCCTAGACAAATCTCTCAAATATTAATAGGGCCATCCTTAAAATTTGTTTGTTTGGAATTGTCGCCAGGAGGGTTTCAGACACAGAAGGGAGGGAAGGAAATTTTTTTTCTCTAAATTGAAGTTAAATTTTAAATTTTTATTAAAAATCTCAATAATTGGTAAATAGCAAATTTTCTGACTTTTTGAAAAAAGTATCTACCATCAACAAAGAATCTTGATTTTGCACAGATCTGAAACCACATTAGTGTTTTGTGTGGTGCATGTGATAACAGCCCAAGAATTGCTTAAATAAAAAAATATCTTTTTACTTTTGCTCAATAATTTTTTTTTCAGAAGGGGTCATTTTAATGAGGTGGGAGGCAATTCCAAACAAACAATAATTTTATTTTGTCCTAGACCCTGACATTGGCCATTAAAAGATGTTTTAATATTTTTATTTTAATGAAAAAAAACAAGGAAAAATCAGTTATGTTCCTTTTCTTTCAATAATATTAATTGAGGTGAATGTTGCTGAATACACAGCCTAGATCTTTCCATCAGTAAACAGTGCTTATAATTAACAAATTTCAATTTTTATCGTGTTTATATATTTTTAGGTTCTCAACGGGAAGTTGTAAAAGCTCACCATGTTATGGATGGTATGGCAGTGTTGAAGAAACAGGACTCTCTCCTTATAACGGGGAAGCTGGGTACTGCAGTAACCAGCACTGCAGACAGCATCATGGAGGAGTACGTTAAAAAGAATACTGACTGGAAGGTTAGACACAGTAAATACCAGGAACTCCCCGTCCGATTTGATCCAAAGACAATTTACTTTGTGTATGGATGGTTTGGACTGTGGAATGATAATCCCTGTGATTTGGATGCAGTCATACTGGCATTTAACACTCTTACAAATGCTCACAAAGGAAAGAAAAACAAATTTATTATTGGAATGAGATCTGATGTCAACAAAAGATATGCATCTCAATTAGAACGATTTGAAGATAATTTATTACACAATTCAATATCTTTAGATTCTGTTAACTTTTTGAGAGATAAAGGATATGAAGTTTTTTTTAATGAGAAAGTTAAAGGCAGTTGTGAGGACAAGAACTGCAAGTGCAAGAATTTGAAATTTGACATGTTGACAAAAGAAAAGGAAAATAAAATTGGAATTCCCCTGAAAATGAATGTTTTGGCAAAGCATCATAACATGATTGCAGAGTTTGTTAAACGGAAGAACATAAAAGAGACGGTAAAGGAGCATTTTAAATCTTTAAAAGACACAGATGGATTGTTATACCAGTGTCTCATGTACGTCTGCATGAAAGGAGAGCTGAAAAGGTCTGCAGCTTTAGATAAAGGAATAGTCAGTAAATTTAAATTTGAAATTTCAAAGAAGGTTTTTGAAGAAAGTATGCCCAACTTAGAAAGCTACATCCGAATGAAGAATTCCGAGAAACAGCAGGGAATCCAGCCTGAAGCAGCGACGTATGTGTTCTGGCATTCCTTTATCTACATCTGTGCTTTCCACACTCTGTTTGAAACAAACCCTGACGAAGTCATGACCTGCTGCAATATTGATGCTATACTCCAACTTGTGCGGCCAGAATCGGCAGAATCCCACAAGAAGGACTACTTTGTTGTCATCGCTGACCAAGAAAGGGTCAAGTTGTTCCAGAAACGCGTCAAGGATGATGGAATGGAGGATGAAGTGTTAGCTAAGCATCCTTTACTTAAATTCAACGCTGAGGGAAACCCTGGAGGATCTTGAACTCTTCTGATGAACTTTTTTTACCTAAAAACCTGCCTGTTTTATTGTCTGATGAACAAAATGCATGATTAGAATTTTTTTGGTAAATTTATTATTTTAATATTGTAAGACAGTGCTTGTTGCAAGCTGTTTTGAAATTATGGATTAATTCCCTTATATTATAGTGCATGAGGTATTTGTCATGTGAAAGTTGCCTTGAATATTAGTAGTATTTAAAAGGAGAACTGAGTTTTGTGTTCAAAAAAGTATGAGATCATTAAAAAAAATTGATGTGCTTATTGAAATTAAGTGTGAAGTATACAAGGAAACCCTAAAATACTAGAAATCTTACCTGCAGTATTTGATTTGTAATGTCCTGTATATATTCCATTAGCTATAAGCTTCTGTATGGAGGTGTTTCACAATCACAAGTCATTTCTTCCCTCTAATTTTGGAAATATTCATGCTATAGTGTAATGTAAATGTTATTGTGGCTATATTTTTATGAGACAAATATCCAGTTATATCCTGAGACAGCTTTTTTTAAAGATAGAAATGTTATTTTTTCAATGAATATGGTTTAATACATGTATTCTACCTTCATCAGTGTTTTCCCTTTATTTCAAAGTAAAGAGTTAGAGATCAGTTGTAACAGGCTAGAGGCTAAGGTTTATGAACAGAATCTCTGTGGACCTTACAACAAATTTTTATTTCAAAGCAGCATTTTTGTCAATTAAAGTGGACAATTTGGCCAGTAGCCGGTTCTTAGGGAAAACACTGCTTCTTACACATGTTAGTATAATACATGTATATAACAATTTTAAGTATGATTTGGGTTTATTTAAACATGATTTTTAAAAAGGGCATTAAATATGGGGGGGGGGGGGGGCTGTACATGTCAATTTCTTGCAGAAAAAGAAAATTAACATTGTACAAGTATAAGCAATTTCACACTTCAGTGAACTTGTTAAAGTCAGTGGTATTGGTTCAATGAAAAAAGTAAATTCTTCACTGGGTTATACAAAAGTTTGTAACAAAAACTTGAGCTAGTTGTTGTTGGGGGGGGGATGACATGAGCATGAAGTTGTAATTTTATTAAGGCATTTAATTTAGTGTCAATCAATTTGTCTTCTTAATTGATTGTTTTGGTAAGCCTAAGGTTGAGAATTCCTTTTACAGTGTGTTGAAATATGTTGTTTATGCATTTTTCCTGACCTATTGGCCTATATATTTTTTATTTAAATTATTTTGTTAATTTTTCAAATGAAGCATAACTCCTCAACTAAGTTTGGGGAATGTTAACATGACTGCACATCATGCCATTAGTCATTTGTTGTAAATTATTTACATGTTCAAGATATATACAACATAGTTTTGAAAATTCAATTAAAAATAAATGGTATTAACTGCATGATGGAGCTTTGATCTTATAAATGATGTCTGCATGGTAATGTTGTACACCTTTTCATCTGTTGAAACTCCTGATGATATATGATTTTTTTGCTTACTTTATGAATATCTTTAAATAGGACAGGTGCATTGTTACATTTCAAGTATAAGTATCTTGTGTAAGCCCTTTATACAGTTTGTTATAGAATAACACAATGTCATAATTTACCTAAAGATTTTCAGACTAGCCACGTATTGAATATTAAAACCATACTGGGCATTAGAATTTTTTTTTTTTTTTTTTTGCACTCTAATTTTTGTTTTGTAAATCTTTAAAAAATAATAATAAACTAATAAAAGTAAACATGAATTTATTTTACATTTGACTCAAAACATTATTATATACATGTACATGTATGCACATAATTCTGCATTCATTTTGCAATAATATGAAATGAATATCGTCAGCATATGTTACCGTATATTGTTTGTAATACTTGTGTAAAACTATAGCGCATGGCTGCATTATTGTAATAAAAGTTTTAAACCTGAGTTTCTGAATTTTACCTTACCTGTACATGTATTTGAATTGATTTAAACAAATTACTTGCATGACATGAAATAAGGAAAACAGCAAATCACTTATTCATTCAACAACATTATCATAAATATATATTTAACATTATTTAACATTATATTTGTTTCTACATCTTGTTCTATCACTGTTTAGAGGATTTTCTCCTCATTTTCCTCCATAAATGGATTGGATACTTAATGAATTTTTTAACTCTGGAAGAAAAGTCAGTCTGTCGTTCAATTTTCCACTTGCCTCTTCCTTTTTCTGAAGCTGTCATTTGATGATGCAATAATGTTTTCAGCAGCTCCTCTTGATGGAAAGAAAGGGATTTCAGTTCCTCACGAGTCAAGTCTTTAACTTTACAAATCCCCTCTCCCACCAAAATCTCGTTCACACTGTGTTTTGTCAAATACTGAAAGTACATGTATATACATGTATTGTCAAAAAAACTATGTACATGTATGACCACTGATGACCTTATTTTTTTGCTTGATAAGATACTGGATTCTGCTTCTCTAAAACTTAAATTGCTTCTTATCTCCCAGAGGCCTTTAATTAGATCACTTACAAAAACAAGAAGTCTCTGTCGAGACTGTAGCTCTACTGGTTTGTACTTATAATAACGGAAGAGAAAAGTAGCAGTTGCAACTAATATAACTTTACAAAAGCAATAAATAGAATAATGATCCTTCAGTTGATTAAGTCTCTCTTTTTTGGCAAGATTGCAATTATAATACTACAACTATTATAGTTAATAAAATTTTACAGAATTTTCAATTTCAGTTACCATGGCAACATCAATCATCAAAAACATAAAATTGATGATTATGTATCTCGGTGTAGTCTACTTGCATGCCAAATTATATTACAATCAGACTAAAACTGTAGGAGGAGTAGCATTTTGAAAGTACTTCACATAAATTTCTATTTATAGTAACCAAAGCAACATCGTTTATCGAAATCAAAAACCGATAAACAGAATTATGTATCTTATTATAATCTACTTGTGTGCTAAGTTATGTTAAAATCAGACCAAAACTGTAGGAGGAGTAGCATTTAAAAGTATTTCACAGAAATTTCTATTTTTAGTAACTATGGCAACACCGTTCATGGAAATCAAAAATCGATAAACAGATATATGTATTTTAGTGTAGTTTACTTGTGTGCCAAGTTATATTGAAATCAGACCAAAATTTTAGGAGGAGTAGCATTTTAAAAGTATTTCACAGAAATTTCTATTTTTAGTAACCACGGCAACACCGTTCATTGAAATAAAAAACCGATACACAGAATTATGTATCTTAGTGTAGTTTACTTGTGTGCCAACTTATACTAAAATCAGACCAAAACTGTAGGAAGAGTAGCATTTTAAAAGTATTTCACAGAAATTTCTATTTTTAGTAACCATGGCAACACCGTTCATCGAAATCAAAAATCGATTAACAGATATATGTATTTTAGTGTAGTTTACTTGTGTGCCAAGTTATATTGAAATCAGACCAAAATTTTAGGAGGAGTAGCATTTTAAAAGTATTTCACAGAAATTTCTATTTTTAGTAACCACGGCAACACCGTTCATTGAAATAAAAAACCGAACATTGTATCTTATATACTTGTGTGCCAACTTATACTAAAATCAGACCAAAATTGTAGGAAGAGTAGCATTTTAAAAGTATTTCACAGAAATTTCTATTTTTAGCAACCACGGCAACACCGTTCATCGAAACTAAAAACCGATACACAGAATTATGTATCTTAGTGTAGTCTACTTGTGTGCAAAGTTATATTGAAATTAGACCAAAACTGTAGGAGGAGTAGCATTTTGAAAAATTGTTTACAGACAGATGGACAGACAGAAAGACAGACGGACGGATGATTTTCGCATAACTTTTGGTCCCTGACAAAATTTTGAGGTATCAAAAAAAGTACATATCTTTTTTTAAACGCCCCATTTTTTTTAACAAGAGGCCCATGGGCCTTATAGGTCACCTGAGTATCATGCAACAACTTTCCAACAATTGAATTTGATTCATGTTTTAAACCAAAGGCCATGAAATTCACAATTTTGAAAAGGCACCATTGCTTTTCATAAATATACACTCAGCATGCTTACTTTGTTTATGTAATACCCAGAGGTACAGAGTAACAGAGAAAATGCATTTCCACTTTATCAGTTGTGCATCCCTTCCCATAGGAACCACTAACCCTAGGGCCACATCTTTCAAAATTTTGGAAATTTTATTTCATCATGTTGTTGATTAATACCAAAGTGCAGATTTCACAGCATTAAATTATAAACCATTACCCACCCCCTTCCCCTCACCCAATGTTGTCGGGGCCAGGAAATTAACCATTTTTGGAAGAAGCAGCTTTTTTCGTCATAAATATATACTAAGATCATTGGCATAATACCTATGAACAAAGGAGAAAATTTTCATAGAATTCCTGCATTTTCAATGTATAAACATAAAAGCCCCACCCTAACACAAGAAGCCCTGACCCAGGGGCTCTGAAATTCACAAATCTCAAAGAGGCATCCTTCTTCCTTATACTATGTACATAGTTTATTTGTTTAATACCCAGGTGCAGAAAAGATTTTTAAAGAATTTATGCATTTTCACTGTATAATCAATAGAGCCCCACCCTTACACCATAACCTCTAGAGGCCATGAAATTCACAATTTTGGAAGAGACAGCCTTATTCAACATAACTATGTACTTGGTTAGTTTATTTAATACTCAGGAGCAGAGAAGAAGATTTTCATAGAAATCATTTTTAGCTCACCTGAGCCGAAGGTTCAAGTGAGTTTTTCTGATCACATTTTGTCCGTCGTCCGTCCGTCCGTCTGTCCGTCTGTAAACTTTTCACATTTTCGACTTCTTCTCAATGCCAATTTTTTGGTACAAAGCATCCTTGGGTGAAGTGAAATTTAAATTGTAAAAATAAAGGGCCAAGTCCCCTCACAAGGGGAGATAATCAAGAAAAGACAAAAATAGGGTGGGGTCATTAAAAAATCTTCTTCTAAAGAACCACTGGGTCAGAAAAGCTGAAACTTATGTGGAAGCAACCTGAGGTAGTGTAGATTCTAAATTGTTAAAATCATGACCCCCGGGGGAAGGGCGGGGCCACAATGGGGAATCAAATTTTTACATAGAAATATATAGGAAAAATCTTAGAAAATCTTCTTCTCAAGAACCACTGGGCCAGAAAAGCTGAAACTTATGTGGAAGCATTTTGGGGTAGTGTATTGCAATTGTAAAAATACACAGCCCACAATGGGGAATCAAGTTTTTACACACCTATATAGGAAAAATCTTAAAAATCTTCTTTCAGTCACAGTCATCTAAAGTAACCTAGGTTGTAATCCAAATTGTTAAAATCATGCATTGGACAAAATGGAATCAAATTTTTACATGATATATGCCAAAAATCTTATCTTCTTCCCCACTGGGCCAGCAACAGCATTACTAAAGTTCTACATTTGGAGTGAGAGAGTATTCCAATAATCAAGTTTTTACATAGAAATATATAGCAAAAATCTTGCTTCTTCTAAGAACCACTGGGCCGTTTATGTGGAAGCATCCTGGTATAGTGTAGATGTTGTAAAAATCATGACCCCCGGGGGGGTGGGGCCACAATGGGGAATCTTTTAATGGAAATATATAGGAAAAATCTTAGAAATTTTAAAAACCACTGGGCCAGAAAAGTAAACTTATGTGGACATCCTGGGGGTAGTGTAGTATTCCTTGTTAAAATCATACCACATTTCTAAAGTTTTATAGAAATATATAGTCTTTGAAAATCTTTGAAAATCTTCTTCTCAAGAACCACTGGGCCAGAAAAGCTGAAAATTATGTGCACATGGAAGGATTCCTTTGTAGATTTCAAAATGTATATATTATGATCATTGTGGTAACATATTTATTACAAGGGGGAAATCTTGTTCTTTGTATATCACTATTTAAGGTGAGCGATTTTCTGGGCCTCTTGTTTACTATATAATCTTTATAGCCCCACCCTAGCACTAGAACTTCTGACTGTGGGAATATGAAATTCACAATTTTGGAAGAGGCAGCCTTACTCAACATAGCTATGCACTTGGTTAGTTTATTTAATGCCCATGTCATTTCAAAGAATTTATGCATTTTCACTATATAATCTATTAGAACCCCTGACCCTGGGGCCATTAGATTCACAATTTTAGAAGAGGCAGCCTTATTCAACATAACTATGCATTTAGTTAGTTCATTTAATGCCCACAAACAGAAAAGAAGAATTTCAAAGAATTTATGAATATTCACTATATAATCTATATAGCCCCACCCTAGAACCAGAACCGCTGACCCTGGGGCCATGAAATTCAAAATTTTGAATGAGGCAGTATATATTTCAACTCAACTAACTTGGTTAGTTTATTTAATGCCCAAAGCAGAAAAGAAGTATTTCAAAAAAAATAATGCATTTTCACTATATAACCTATATATCCCCACCCTAGCACTAGAACCCCTGACCCTGGGGACATGAATTTCACAATTTTGATAGAGGGCTCAATGCTGATTACAATCATACCAACAGTTTGACTGCTTAATGTCCAGGAGTAAAGAAGAAGATTTTTAAAAATTCCATGAAATTCACAATTTTTGTTCCCCTTCACCCATAAATGCTATATGCCAAATTTGGTTGAAATTGGTTCAAAAATTCAGAGAAGAAGCTGAAAATGTTCAAATGTTAACACACGCCAACCACGAAGGATTTTTTTGACCTAAAAAGTTGTATCTTGTCCAATATGGAAAAGGCTTAGATATGTGAACTTATTTTACTGATAAATGTACAAATAATGGAAACTAGTTAAACAGTTATTGCACTATTTTACATAATATCAGCATTTGTGGCAAAATTACAAAATGAGTTTTAACTGTTGCATTTTCTTCAGAGAAATTAACACGCATTACATGTTTTACCAAGTTACAAATACCGGTAACCTAAATATAATTAAGTTTTACCTTGCGAAATAAAATATTTGCTTGGACAGATGAATCGTTGACTGAAAGAGGCTGAAACCAAACGATTCTGTGGTTAATGGTGTCCTGGAGCCATTTACTTCCCTCTGGTGTCATGTCCACTAGTGCTACTGCTAAATGAACTGAAAAGCAGAAGTGATCACAGACATTACTTACTGCAAAATTCAGTAATATTATATAAAATGTATCTTCTTATAACTAAAACTGTAATTTAACTTAACACATATTATTGTAAAACATAAGTTTTTAACCAATATATGTGATGTATGTGCTATGTAAATGAAAATAACTAGTAAATTTATTACATGTACATCAATTTCTATGAATTACATGTATCTGTATATACCATTAAAAGACATTTGACAATGGGAAGCTGGAACATGGATTGCACTATAAGTCTATGTAAATACAAGTATAAAATGATAAAATACTATTAACTGATCACTCAAATAACAATTAGTATTGGTTTTAGAATTATTTTTCACCATGGCTTTTAGGCCTCCACCTTCCTGGTATGATATTCAGGAAAGGGCGATGTTGCACATGAACAATTCCTCTTGTTCCCACTGCTTCCACATAGCTCCGAACTCGAACCTTCCTGGATATAAACTCAGCAGGAATGTCGGATGTACAGGTAATGAGGTGTGTCTGAAGTGCAGATGACAACTTTTTATTATAGCTTTACAAAACATGTAAATATTGCATGGTTAATAATAAAGCAAATGGCAGGTAAGAATAATTCATTTTTTAAAATAATTTTTATTACAAGTTTGAACACAAAAAAGTGCTTTAGGTTAATATTGCAAAGGCCAGCTTTTTGAGTATTAATTTTTGAAATTTTAATATTATAATATCTGAATGAAATGGGTTAAAAAAAAGGAAGGGTGCATTTCAATATAAATATATAATGTATTTGACAGGATAGCTTTTTGCGGCCGATTAATTTTTTAAATTTTGTGGGGTATAATATCTTAAAGAAATGGGTTGTGTAAAATATACAGGTTAAGCCCCTGGTGTATTACCTGAATTTTCCTACGACTTTGAAACCGAGATCATGTTTAGCAAATATAAATATATAATGTATTTTGTATTGATCTTGTGAGCCCAATAAAAAATTCTCTTGTACAAAACCTAATATATATCACAATATACCAGTGTTTATATTTTTAATTTAGCAATATAAATCCAATGAGGCACCCTTGGAAGAGATGCCATACAAAAATTAATTTTTTTTTGAAAGCATTTTTTGTTGCATCTCTCTCAATTTCTTTCTTTTAAAATAATTGATATTTTTAATAAAATTTTTTATATACAGTGTGTTTCTTAATAAAGTGTTATAACGAAAATTTAGCATAAGTTGCTTTAATGTTACAGAAGTTTAAATTACTGTCGTTTGAAAAAAGTACATAAAACAGTCTCTCGAAATAACAATGAAACTTCGATGTTTTAAAAATAAAATGTTGAAGTAGAAATATTATCAAATAAATATCTTTTTAAGTTCATTTTTCACACATTCACAGAAGCGATATTACAGCTATGAAACAAAAGAATCTTTTTTTTTTCTTTCCTTGATTAATTTCAAGCATTAAATACAAAGCAAGATGTTATATTCCGTCTCTACTAAAACTTATTATTATAAAAGGTTACTTCTCACCATGTCTAGAAAAGCGACACGTACAGGATTGTCTTATAAATATAAATTCGCTTATCAAACAATGTTAAAATGTTGTCATACTTGTTTTAAAAAATAATTTTATTATGTCTACAATCATTTTGTTAATTAATGAATCAATGCATTGTGTTGACATGGAAATTAAAATAGTAATCGTGATATGAAATCCTCCCTTTTAAAATTGAATTTATAATATATTATATAGCCATGATTTTCTTGTCATTTATTTAATAATTTGATAGACTGATTATATTTATGGCATATTCTTATGAATTAAAAAAAGATTTGATGATTTATCTTTTTCATACATGCGGTAGGCATCAAAAGCCTTTATTTCGATTTTAGCATCATCACTGACAAAGGTACACAGATATACACAACAGTGAAGCAAATGTCAACAAATGGAAACGGCTTAATTTCAGAGAAGAGGTTCTAATTTTGAAAAACAAATACACAACACAAAGTCCAGCAACTATAAATCCAATGACACCAATGCCATACATTTGAAAATTGATGTTATTAAACATGTGTTTGATGTTTCATCTTGAAATGTAATATATAAAAATTGAATAAAAATGTTGCTGCCTGATTACAGACAGAATAATTTATTCTTAAAAAAACCTTAAATTTATCTTATCAAGGATTTAATTTGATTATTATGTCTAATTGCATTGTGTTACAGTTTTCAACGCACCCGAGTCAATCTAACGTTAGAATCTAGTAAATCTGTGATTTTCGCTAAAAGACTTGATGAGTTATCTTTTTCTGATTCAGGCATTGCATAATTTTAGCATCATCACTGACATCAGTCACTTTCACTCACAGTCAGTGCAGACAAAAGCATAACTGGAAACGCTAGGAGAGAACTAATTTTAAAAGCTGACACCAAAGTCCAGTAAAATCCGGATCCATATTTGGTTTGATGTTTTCTCTCTCTCATTTTCATCTTGAAAATTGATATATAAAAATTGAATAGAAATGTTGTATGATATTGTAACAATGTTTTTAAAATTAAATTATATTTTTAAAATTGATTATTTAATTGGCACGGAATGAATATCGTTCACGGTTTGTTTATTAGGCTATATTTTGACCAGAATCTGGAATCTGACAGTGTCAGTGACAGAAACTGAGAAAGAAACCAAAGATGACTGGGTTGGCAGAGCCCAGTCATGGTCTGGCCAGGGTTTTATCAAGTCAAGGGTTTGATCCAGATAATTGTAAGTTCCGTCGAAAAACTTTTTTATTGTTAAGTTGAAGTTATAGCGAAGGTTGTAAATATCAGTCAGTGGGGTGTGTCATAATTCGAATTTCCTTTGACTGATTTACAGTATAACTGGTCAGGTCCGTTGCATTTTTTCTCCTAGTGCATAGTAAATAATATACACATAGATTATATTTTAAGTTGCAAACAACATTACACGTGAATTTTCAATCAGTCTAGGTCACATTCATAAACATCATTCTGATGAATTAAAATAACATGGTTTTGTTTATAATTGTTTCAGTTGTCAGCAAGTTGTCACAGAATGGAGAAGAGGAACTGCTGACAATGAAGCAGAAAGTGCAAATTCTGGCCGATGAAACAGCTCACTCACTGAAGAAAAATGTCTACAAAAACTACTCACAGTTCATTGAGACTGCTAAAGAAATTTCCAGTAAGTCTGCATGTTGAATATTTAGCTCATTGAACACTGTCTAGTCCAAAGTATCTGACGTTTTCAGGGTTTTTTTCAATTTTAATATTTTAAGTGCCAGGAAAACGTCAGAACCGGCACCATTACAAAAACTGGGAACTCGACACCTTCAACTGGAGGCAGCATTATCAGATGATTTTAGATACTTGTGAACCAAATTAAATGCCAAACTCACAAGTTATCAATAGTACAATACTTTTAGTACTTACCAATATCGTTTCTTATGGTTCATTTATAAAATTTACATTTCGCTGAAAATATTTTATCAGACTGTCAAGATTTGTCTTCATTTTGTGCATTTAAAAATCGTGCAAGTCCTTTAACGAAAGATGGAGTGATATTTTCTTTTCATTGATATTGGTGAGTACTAGAGGATTGGAGCTATTGATAAATTCCAATTCCGGCATATAGAATGGTTCACAAGTATCGAAAATGAACTCCGGTTGGAGACAGTGAAATTTCCAGTCTTCATAATGGCGCTGGTTCTGATGTTTTCCTGGCATGTAAAATATCAAAATCGTAAATAAAAGCCTGGAAAACGTCAGACATTTAGGACTAATCGAACACTTGCATTACAAATGTCCAGTCACCTTTATTTTCAAGCTTTTTGAGATCCATTTAAATTATGTCTTGGAAACAATGTAAAAAAAAATATATATATAACCCTTAAACAGATATTATTTGATTAAATTTTAATACAAAAAGAATTGATTCTGAAACTTCATTAATGAGTACATGTAAATTACAAATGTAAAATAATGGGAAAGTTAGAACTGACTGACAAAACACATCATGACATTTGTATATCATTTTTATATTTACATATTAATACATGTTCTTTTAATCAGTTTTGGAGGGTGAGATGTACCAGCTAAGTCACATGCTGACAGAACAGAAGAGTCTGATGTCATCCATGATGGAGATGTCCCTGGTCAGTGACAGAGGTATGAACTAGTCACTACTGAGTAGTAAAAATAAATCAGAAGCCTTGTAAAAGACACAGAGTACATGTATACCTAAGATGATTCGATTCAGATCTAGAGGTTACATGTATGTCCAGTGTTACAGAGTAGTCGTTCTTGGAACAGAGTTTTGAAAAATTATAATTAGACCAGGTATAAGTTATTTCACACAATGAGGCTTATGAAAAGTGATATCTTATAATATCATTACATAATAAATTAAATGATTGCTCTGATTGCCATGTATAATTTTTTTTTTTATTTCTTGTTGTCATAAAGACTTCATTGGCATTAATCAACCTCTTTAATTACAATGTCTTTAATGGAATGAATCAGTACCCCTTCTTTTAACAGCTATTGTGGAGGAGCCAACAGTGAAAGAAGAAGATGAAAATCCAGAAGAAGAAACACGGAAAAATCTGGCCTTCCTTTTGGAGAAGGTTGAAGGCTGCTCGGTAAATTCTACATAATATTGCGCATTTTGCCTTTTTATATATGTTATCTGTATTATTAAAAAGCACTTGAACTCTAAAAGATAATATTCAACAAATAAATAAACTTCCTTTTTTACTCAAAATTAAATCAAAAATCATAATGCAGTTTATTTTCTTCATATTTGATGATATGAGAAACATTTGTATCATTCTTTATGCATTGTGTAGAGTGTCACAGAAGTCCCAGGCAGACAACTGATACACAATGGTGACCTTGTTGAACTTGATCCAGAATCTCTTACAGCAGTGCAGAAAGTTCACTGTTTTTTACTCAATGACAGTCTGATGATTGCATCATGGCTCCCAAATAGGTGAGGTCTGGATGAAATAATGCATTACTATGCTTCCTGTCAGTTTGTCTCTATATAACCCATACCCTACTATTCTCGCATAGTGTTCTAAGGATTTATATAGCGTAAGAGGAAATAATGCAATAGCAATGTTAGAAATTATTATCAATCCGATGCGTCATGGATTTGCCACAAACGCCATTCTCTAGTATTGAACTATGATGTATATAAACTTAGTTTCAAATATTTTACACTTAAGATTAAAAATTAACAAAATAATTCTTCTAAAATTGCCGTTTTTATACAGTAACAACAGTCAGCATAATAATAACAATAGTGTTGTGTTTTGCACCTGCTACACATAGTGCAATCGCCTCCGGCTTGTGCACCATGTGTCAAACCCTGACTACTATTAAGGCATAGTGCATGCAAAACACAACTCTATTATATAAATAGTCAATGCTAGAAATTATTTTATTTGTCATGGATTTGTATCTACACAACAAAAGATTTTTTACATAAATTATTATGTATTCTAGTGCCATCATACTACATCTGCTACAGTAATGAGTGTAAACTTTTTATGCTATCTGTAAATCATTTAATAAAAGTATTTCAAAAGAGACTTTCACATATATTAAGAAAGAGATTGTGCAACATATTTCGTTTCAGATCACAATATTCTATATTATTTTTACTTTTTCTAGGCGTGGTCCAGTTAGGTATCGATTCCAGGGCCTGTACGAATTGGACAGTTTAGCTGTGGTCAATGTAAGAGATGCGGGTCCAAACAAAAATGCCTTCAAGATACTGATGTTTCCAGACTCCAAAATGTACCAAGCAGACAGTTCCAAGTCTAAGGTTGGAAGATCTAAATACCTAATTACCAGTTCTAGACACTTCGCTTATGTGCAGTATATGATGGATATTTATAATTGCTTCATCTTTCTTTACTTCATTGTATGAAGTTTTTCAAATGAATTTTCCATTGATAAGAGTTTTTGCTGTAAGTTATTTCATGTTATAACTTTATCACATATATGTCTACATGTAGAACTGTGTCTGTTAAGAGTTGTTAAGATTTGTTTCAGTTTATTCCATTTAGCTCTCTATGTGTTTTTTGTAACAGTGAAAGTGGCTGGACCTGTATTTGTATGGTTTATGTTATAGAGACAGCTGTTAGACCTGTATGTTTTTGGTTTATGTTACAGAGACAGTGGCTAGACATTTTAGAAGAGTCTAAGAAGAAGAAGGCAGCTCGAGACAAACAGAAAAAAGAGGCTATGGAGCAGCAGGCTCTGGCCCAGGCGGCTACTGCAGTAGAGGAGAAAAATCGTATGTATACATGTATTTACCACAGAGCTTACTCAATACTATACAGTTATTGACTGGGTATGAGGGCAGCATATGATTTGTTGGACCTTAAAAAAGGCCAAGGGCAACATTTTTTTAACAAATCATATGTTGCCCGAATCCCAGTCTATAAATGTCTATAAATGTTTTGTTATACCCTTCACTGCTCACTTAAGGTAGGATTCTTCTCATATTTCTTGTATTTAAAAATTAATGAAATTTTCACAGAATCAAGAAGACAATATCAGTAAGTGATAGTATCAGTGAGATTAGATTTGACCATTTTATATAAGAGGCAAGGTCAGGTCAAGGTCATTATCTTTTTCCATGACATTATGAATAAAAAAATACTGTTGCTAATCATGTTATGCTTACTTCTATTTCAAAAGTTTAAAGATTGTTCTTTTGGCATAAAAAGATTTTGCTATATCGGGTCTATAGCATGATATTACCAAATTTACATAAATAATTTAACTAAACTGGATATTGGCTAATCCGAATTTTCTCTGTTTTTCTAATTTTTTTCAGGATATGTTAGTTATTTTTATATGCTTCCTATCTTTAACTTTTTCTTATTTTTACATATAATAAAGTAGTCTTATAAATGTACAAAATGACACAAAAATAAAAAGTTTTGATCGTTTACTAAAAGAGAAAAAATAGTTTTAATGGATTTTTGGCTCAACTCTGTACTTTGATTGGAAGCATTTAAAAGCTAACATAGTTCTAGTTTGTTTGAAAAATCATATTAATTTGATATATTTTGAAAGTTTAGTTCCTTATTATTAATCTAACTTACATTTGAAAATTTCTGCAAGTCTTTGATTGTCTAAAAATTATAACATAATTCGTTGTTCTATTAATTTTGAGAGACAGAAAAGAAGATATTTTCATACGCCACCATTCTGCCAAAAATATAGTCCCTGCTATTTTTCAAACGCAGTTTACCATTTCTATTTAAAGTTGTACAATTGTGATAAGGAAAGAAAAATATGGTCTTCTAAATCCCTTACAGTCCTAAATATATTAGACATATAAGCAAATATACTTTGAATGTTTCATTTAG